TATGACCGGACTGCCTGTTAAGCACGCGATAGGCTTAGCGGAGAGAGCGTCGCGACTCCCGATTGCGATCGCCGGAAGTGACGTAGGCGATTCTTTACAGGACTATATCTCGTGAAGGGGTACGGTTCCTATGAATTTTTTGTTCCCAAAGTTCGAAAGTTATATTTACGATTTCTGGATAGCCCGATTTCTTGCCTTTCAGTATTTTTTGAGTAGTTTGCACATTTCACCGCTAAGCGGCGGTATTAGCAACTACGATGTCGTCTGCTTAATTTTCTATTTTCTACGCCGCAATTTCGAAAATGAACTTCCTTAATTTAAGCTAGCATTAGAAGTAGTCAAAGATAAGGAAACATGTATCGAGTGGTTACAAGATCAGGGTCTCCGTAAAGCAAAAAAAGTCTAATAGATGCAAAGAGTAGATGAAATTAGAAGTGTTCACCGAAGAGAAAGATAAAGGCAAAGGATGGGGGCGCATGCGATGCCATAAGCACGGACAGGAACAACAAATCACTACTGGTACTTTCTTTGAGCAAGTCCGAATCTCATTACAGAAAGCAATTAATAGAGAGGTTGCGGCCGAAGTTCAAACGTTAAACTTCTAAGGCAAGCAGTACACGTTTGACGTTTGAATTCCAAGTAAAACACGTTGCGCCACACGTTCACAACAATATCCCATCAGTGCGCGACACGATATTGTCGAAAAATGGCGGAAACGTTTAACAACGACGAATGTTACCAGCGAATGTAAATAAAGAAATTAAACTATGTTAAAGTATTTGTAGGATGTTTAATAACAATAACTAATTATTTTTAATTAGCGTCGTGTCTCCTACCGTACGATAGGACTACCTCAGATTTTTGATGAGAGAAGTAGTGGCTTATGTAAATCCGAAAGCAGCTTGGAAAATTTGTAGAAAATATAAACCTATTACGCTGTTGATGGTAGATGATGTTGTGAAAGAACAAACCTACTCCTACAGAATTATGATAAGCTATTATGAAGACAAATATATGTAAATTCTATAGGCACTTCACACCACTTGCAAAAAAATTGAATAATTAAATAATTTCTGGATTAAAATCGTCTGTTTCTTTTGATTATTATTCATAAATACTTAAATAATCATTATTTTAATAAAATACGTCATAATTTTAATCCCAAACATAAAAAAATGAAGTTTAAACCGATCTTCTATACTGCCGTGCTAGACGTAGCGAACGCCATTATCAACCCTCTAGAATTGCCAGATGGCGGCGCTCGACGTCCGACTTTCACGTTTTGGGCTGAAAACGTCGGCCGCAACCTATATTCTAATGTACTGCTGAGTGCACGAGATGAAACGAGATAAAGCAATCCACGAATCGTCGCTTGAAGATAAAAAGACCTCCCCAAACACCATGGTAGATTGGTTTAATTACTGTCGTGAAGTCACCATGAATGCACTAGACGCAGAGTATGATTCGGAAGGAAAAATTGGCGAACCTGTCACATAGTGAAAGTCGATGAAATGAAATTAAGACGTCGAAAGTACAACCGTGGCAGGATGGTGGATGGACACTGGTTGTTGGGCATGATCGACCGAGAAGGAAGCTATCGATTAGATATATGCCCCGAAAACTACTGAGACATTGGTTGCTTTCATACAGAAGCATGTGGAACCCAGAACTACAATCATCACGGATCTTTGGAAAGGATATAGTGGATTAGAAGAATATGGATACGAGCACCAAACCGTCAATAATAGCGAAAATTTTGTAAATCCCGAAGATGGTGCCAATACACAAACTAGAATCTAACTGGTGACCACTGCGAAGACGACTCAGCCGTGATGGAATACAGACGATAATCTGGCTTTACATCTGTGCGAGTATCTGTCTCGGTCCCCTCAGTTCAGATATATACTCAATGTCCCGAAATTCCACCGGGAATAATGTATACAACATCCCAGGAGTGGCTGTCGTATACACAAATTTCTTGCGCGTTTTCTTTATTATATCATCTGTGGGTTGAGTATCTCTAATCTCATGTTCATGAGATTAGAGATACTCAACCCACATTTTCATCGTCCAAAATCTTCTGTTTTTCCATATCGTTTGGTATTTTCTGTTCTTTTGTAACCACACCCCGTTCGCGCTGGTAAAAGGAGTACAGTTGAGGAAATAATTCCTTTCGTTTCAAGGAAAGTTCCGACGATATTTTATTTTTTTTCGGTCTCTTTCTATCTTCAGATTTAAAAATTGTGGTAAGAAAACGTGATTCTCTGCATTTGAGTTTTCGTTTTCTCTTAATTGCTTGGATCGAATCAACAGTTTTTCATCCGCTAGGTAAAATTTTTTACGTCCAGTCCAGAATATTGCTTTTCCGTTAATTTCAATCGGAAAATATATATGAAAATAAGCATAAAATTCATTATCATTTTCGTATGGATTGAGAAAATTCGCATTGAAATCGCTTCAACAAATAAACTCGACAATATGAAAAATGCATTTTTGACGTCACAAATTTAGAAAATGTTTTAATTGGAAAAATAAATTTTCTTTTTTTTTAATTAACAAAAACGTTTTTAAATAACTGTGGTAGTTATTCTAAATATGTTTCCACACGCTCTCTTGCTTTACTTTCATACGGAAATAAAAATTCTTTGATGTAAAAAAAATTCCAGTCATAATGTTAGGGCGCCCCTAGCGGGGAGGATAATAACTCGGGTTTTCGAGCTCTGCTTCCGTGTTTTTATGGAGGGAGGTCTATGGAAACTTGTACAGTGCTGTTATCTGATTGTATATTTCCAAAGCAAATAAACCTTATGTTTTGTTTATGTCGTGTCTACATCTGTTCAAAGAACCTCGTAACGTGGTGTTATGACATCTGGCGTAGCCGACAGGATACTAGCGGCCGGATGGCCAAGCGGTTAAGGTGGCAGCCTCCGCTCTGGGAGACCCGGGGATCGAATCCGGATGGGTCAAGAAATCCCCAGGAATTTTTCAGGGGGGTGGTCTGTCCGAATATATCGGACCCCGTCCCTACCGCTCGGCCGCTCCATTGTGAGCCTGGCCGAACCCATAATGGGCTTGCAAAATGAGGCCCTCTTAGTGCTTAAAGGGCGGAAAGAATTAAAAAAAAGTCGTCCACATAAGCTTTTCACTAGAAGCGCCGCTATGTTACTACTATTTCAAAAATTTATTAACTCGTTTAATTTGTTTTCGTTGATTACTGACAAATTTTTGTTACTTTTTACCAAAATTTAACAGTTTATTTTATTTTTTATTTTTATAATGTTTTTACCGTCCAATGTGCAATATTATTTTGATAGGTATCAACGCTTTTCTTTGAAAATGTGTTATAAATACTATTCATACCGAGGCATTCACATTATCGAATTATTAAAATTGTAGAACGGTAAATACAGTATTGAGGAAATAAGAAATTCCTGCTTGCTATGTAGGCAGGCCGTATAGAGTGTATATGAGGCCCAGGAGTAAAGCGGCCCTTTTTTAACAATTAGTTTTTTTTTAATAAATGAAATGCGTAGAGCGTATCTTTATTTATAAAATGCACTCTTAAAAATTTTATTCTTCTGTTAATAAAATATTAATCCTCAGCTCTGCCTCTCGACACCCGTATGTGTGGGATTCCAATCTTACATAAATTGATTTTTATTCGTTACTGAGCCGTTTAATGCTTATTTAATAATCTAATGAACATTTAATAAAGGTCCTCATAGTCCCATTAATACAAAGAATATTAATACAAATTTTTTATTTACGAGTACCGCTTCGAAACGCCAAGGTTATCTTTACGAAAATAAAACTCCTAAGAAAAAATTTGACTGTCATCTAGTCATAATTTTTTTACTTGTTGCAATTTTTTACATTTCATGAGCACAGTACAGTTCAGTCGGTGTTCGGCGATGCGACAGCTGCCGACCGAGCGTTTTCAATACGACATTTAGTAAAATTGATATAAAAATTATAATTTGCATAAATTTGAGCTTTTATTATCCTCGATAACATTTTGAATGAAAATCGTTCGTTTCGATCTAATTTTATCATTATAAGCATGAAAGTAAGCGATAAAAATAAACTAACAATATGGGGAATACTGTAAGCGTTGACTTATCGATCCGGAAATTTCGCCATCTCACTGATAACGAGAAAGGCTTAAATTCAAAAGTTGAGCTTTCTAGAACCAGTAGTTTTTTTTCCTCTACGAACGTCTGCATTGCCGGACGAAGAAAAGAAAATACAGTTTTTTTTTGCACTTTTCGATTGCTTATATTTCTGCAATCCTTTTATAGAAAAACCTAAAATTTTGCACACTACATAAGAAAACAAATATCTTTCGAACAAGATATTCCTAATTACTGTGTGTTTGGAGGGTGGAGAAGTAGACTCCTGAAAATCGACAACTCTAATTCCTGTATATATAGTCAATCAGTGAATTTTTTACTGGCGTGGAGTCATTGTCGTGATTGTCGATTTCCCGTATCGCCGCATCAATCCGCCGCTACTGTTTGGAGGTATTGAAAGTTACCAAATGTACGATAATTTGACAAGAATTTTTATTTGATGTTTGTTTTTCTTTATTAACCAACCTGCACTGATTTACAGGGTATTTTAAACGCACGGTAAGATGGTTAGCCGTTGTGTTAATTAAGTATAATCTATTCTAACCATCAATATTCCGGCAAAATTACTTATGCGGCATTCTCCAGGTCCCAATGAAGTCGGATTAGTGATGGCCAACCTGCACTTATAATGTAGTTTCTATTAAACTTGATTGTTATTGATTGGAATCATTTTGTGAATTTTCCTGATGTAAAATATGTATTTTTTTTTACTGAAAAGTAATTGACGTTTTGAAACTAATGTGTCATATATTTTTTAATCTTGTGTTAAAATATCCTTATTTATGACATAATTATAAATAATAGTTGAGATGAAATATACAGTAATATGAAATTTTATAAAATCTTTAAAATTCTAATAAACGCCACTAGGTATCGCTGTACACAAAAACGTGAACTCGTGGTGAAGAAAATGATCGGTTTTGGTGGTTCTCCGATTTTAGTATTAAGTATGTAACGATATAATACGATTAATTGTTATTAATTTAGTATTTATTATTTGGTCTAACCGTCCTGTTAATTTTAGGTCAAAATACACACAGGGAGAGTGGCAAGAAGGTACAGTCAGAAAATGTGCAAGCGGCGAAGGTAAGCCTAATTCATGTCACAATGTTCTAGGCCATTGTTCCTTCTATAACATTTGCGATCATTTTAGCTGATAGTATCCCAATTGTTTCGTTTTAATGTTGAATAACTTACTTTTATAATTCTATTGATTAAAAAAAAAGGTGGTAAATTACTAATGGAAATTTTATTTGGCTATTTTATTTTAATGAGTTCTATTTTACAAGAATACGCCTAATACAAGAAAAATAACTCCAAAACAATCCTGTTATGATCATATATTCGTATATGAAATTATTATATTTTTCTTTTGTATTAAAAACATGGTAAAAATTCGATAAGATTAAATTTTGTATGAGGGATTTGCCCCAAGAGTTATAGACCCCCCCCCTGTATGAACCATAAAGTCAATGGAACCATATTTGTACATGCGATTGTTTGCAATATATTCGTCTGCAAAGGTAAGTTTTTAACATGAACTATTATATTACTTATTCTCCATGCTCTGGTAGTAGTGCGCTTTAGTGCTTGCTGCTGCTTACACCTCATACCTCCTAAAACTACAGACCAGTGGTTCTTAACCAATGTTCCACAAACCTCCCTTGAGTGTTCTACGAAAGAAAAGATTTTAAAGTTTTTATTTGAATTTATTCCCATTGCTATATTCATAGATAATTCCATGTTTCTATTTTATTCAATATATTAAAGTTTATTAGTTTATTGCTTTATTGTTTCCTGAAAATAGTAAACATGGAATTGCTTATCAATTTTTGAATGTATTGATGCTAATGCTCTGTGTAATAAAAAGTATATGAATGGTGTTCCATGGTATCAGAAAGGTTGAGAACCACTGCTATAGATCATCATTTACTCCACAAAAGTCAAGTGGGCTAAATAGTTAATTAAACGTGATAGTCTCAATGGAGCAACATGACTTGATCACATTCAACCTGGAAGTAGGCTGATTTTGGGGGGTGGGCTGTATCTCGGCAAGGGTCAAATGTACTCTACAAGTATGGTTCTTTTGACTTTTCCTTCTATGGGTATGGTGGATATTGTCTACAACTTTGATAAGGTCCCAACTTTCTTATTTGGAAATGTAATTGTANACCTGGAAGTAGGCTGATTTTGGGGGGTGGGCTGTATCTCGGCAAGGGTCAAATGTACTCTACAAGTATGGTTCTTTTGACTTTTCCTTCTATGGGTATGGTGGATATGGTCTACAACTTTGATAAGGTCCCAACTTTCTTATTTGGAAATGTAATTGTACCAAAAAGTCATATTACCCACTAGCATCAGCATTTAATGAGACTATAATTTTATTTTTTAAATTAAATTTATTGGTTTAGATTATATTTCTAAGGTATATATTTTGTCATCTAAAATATAAAATAATATTTTTGAGATAGATGGTTTATCACTTGAAAAATTATTGGTCAAACATTAATTTGTGGAACCAAGCACTTTCAAAATTGAAAAAAAAAATTACTGAACAAATATGTCCAAACTTTGAAAAAAATTGCTAAATTCGAAAAGAAAATATGGATATTAAGCTCTGTGATTAAAATTTTGGTTTTTGGTTTTTTTAATTTTTTGGAAAAAATTTGACTTATCACAAGTAAGATGACTAAAGCTACAACTATGCAGATATGAGAATAGTAGCAAGTGAGAACTTTGTAGTAATAACACTCCTACAGAGATATGAGTAAAATAGTAGTTCTGAATGAGGGATTGGACTCAAAATCTTAGGCTGTCTAGATCAGTGTTCTTCAACCTTGGGTCTGCTACTGGCCATGTTTCTTTATGTAGTGAGAGTGTAGTGACAATGACGTCTATGAGCAGCTATTGCTACACGTTGCTGCATTATAGTTTAGAAACACTTTCTGCTCTAACTAAACATGGATGCCGTAATCTATCTTTTAATTACAATTACAGCCAAAAGTAGCACTTTAGTTAAAGAATTACAATAGTTAATTAAAGAATTAAGCATTTCTCTTTCCGAAAATGCGAGCAAAGTAAAAAGATAGGAGATAGATAATTATATTTAAAATATAGTATTTTCTTATTCTTTAGATAGCTTTCAGTGTCATTTTATAAAATTTAACCCTTCTTAATCTTTTTTTAATATTTTTATCAACATTCACTTTGACTTTTTTATTTTCACAGTATAATATCATATTATACACATAAACATCCATTTGCTTTATACATGTAGCAGATGTAAAATCTGCTTTATCTTTGCTGCAACGACCTCTTGCAGCAAACATTTAGAAACGGTTTGCTACGTTATAGTGCTTCATTTAGAAATACTTGCTGTGTAGCGATCGAGCAGTGCCACATAAAGAAACATGACCACTGGCACTGGTTCACAGAAACTGGTTCCTATTGGTCCGTGAAAAATTTCACAGATTGATGTCACACCAACTAAAAATTGTAATTTTAGAACAATATCCTTTATTAAAAAAATATTTCTGTCTTAAGTAGGGTTTCATTTCCTGGTTCTTTCTTTGTTTTGGAATTTCAAGAAAAAGTGATGTGTTTCCCAGGATTCTGGAAAATCCTGGATATCCTTGGATTTAATTAATTATGTTTAAGATATAAAATAAATCTTGAAATCATATTACATAATTACTTTTCAGTTTTTAAGTAATTTAATACGTCCTGCAACCTCCAAAATAATAATAATAATGCTGTGTAAAATATGTATTAAAGTTTGTTAGAAACTGCTTACAACAAAAAAAAAATGCTTTTAAATTGAGTTGAAAATTTAAAGAAAAAAATGAACTTAGATCAATTTTCTAACTTAAAAGATAATTTTCATTTTTTAAATAAAATTTACAATAATATTTTGTATTAACATTTTAAAAAACAAAGATGGTCAACACTCTGATTATTCATTCTGGTTCTTATTTTAGTAATGAAAAGTCCTGCTACCAAGAATGCCCTTTTTGGTTCAATTGATGTGGGTGGAATTGTCTTTAATGCATTTAAGAGAAGACATGTTATGTGTTTTTTCACCTGTAGCCTTGAAGATTTCTAGTTCGTTTTCAAGATGCATTGCAGTACTTTTTTTGCTGTCCAATATTCTTGATTTGTCTACCTCAACTGCTTTAATAGAGGCATCAAGCTTATAGCACGATAATTCAGCGGTTTGTTTGGTTTTAATAATTATGTTTACGAAGAAAAACTTCATACTTGCATACTTCATATTTGTTTGTATCCTTGCCCAATTTGCACAACCCAGCATAAGGCAGTTATTAGTTACTGGGCAAGGTTAAAAATTAAGACAGTATTAGTGCAGTATTCATGATATTTTCAGTCCTGCCACAAATAGGCTACATATTGATTATTGACCATCTGTGACATCAGGCTTAAAATTAATAAATACAAATGTATTCTGACAGTTTGAATTAATTATACTTTGTATTTGCAAAATTTCCTTCACTTTTTTTATTTTGTGTTAAGGTTAATTTTTAGGAAATTTATGAAATTTCCTGGGTTAAAAAAACAGCTGGGATCCTGTTAGAGAAACCTTAAGTCATGGTCACACCTTGCAATTTCCAGCTACGCAGGCAACCACAACCGCAACGGCTGTTCTCATTAACTAGTAAACACCCTTCAAAAACCGGCATGATTGCAACCGCAACTAGAAACAAAAAGTTTGTTCTACTCACGCCGATAGCAAACACGCATCCAATCAGCAAATGCCTGTATGCCACATCATACAGTGGCAGCATTGAGAATAGTTCATCATCATGGCAGAAAATAAGAGGATTGATACTTTTACAGAATTGAGATTGATTGAGCTTATTCAGGCTCATGAATGTCTGTGGGATTTTATTGAAGATTTTATCTCTTTGTGTATTCTCACCAGCTCTAAGAAAATGATTGCTTTTTTTTGGTTTGTTTGTTTGTTTGTTGCAGAAAAGAAACTGCTTGCCATTTTAATAAGAAAAGTGGCTAAAATTTCATAAATGCTCTGAAGTAGAACGTAAACCATCGGTAAACTCACAAAAGTAGTCAAAAACAAGCTACCGTAATTTTATTGGTTTATCATATGGTCATGTATTTTTGAGTTCAATGCCAACAAATAATGTGACCACAATAAGATGTGCTTGTTGCAGTTGCCTGCATGGCTGAAAATTGCCAGGTGTGACCACTGCTTTAGTCTTATGGTTACAGGATTTCTTAAATACAGTTTAATATGAGGAATTTTTTGCCCTAATTACTATATTTTTTAGCCTAAAAAACTGATTATAATCTTTTTTAATTAGAAATCAAATGAATCATACATATATACCATAATCTCAGTTTTAACCTAATTTAAGTCAACTTAAAATATAGAAAAAAATAGTGGAATAAGACTTATTATACTGGTGTAGTTTCTGATTAGCAGAGGCAATTATACCAGTGTAATAAGTTTTATTTATAAACAAGGTCCAAGTAGACAATATAAAAACAAAAAAGTAAAATATTAAGTACATAGAAGTAAAAAGAATTAAAATAGTAAAGTTTAGGCCAATGTTTAATTACATAATCTGTGATATTTCCCTAAATTCTGGTAATTAACATAAGCAACATGTGCATTAATGAGTGCAATTGTGATTGGACTGCCTCCATAGCAGTGAGGCTACACACGGTTCATGAAATATTCTTATTTTGATACGAGAAAGTTTAGAATGTCTGTTAAATTGAATACAGACAATATCAGCTATCTGGAAAATTTTGTGCTGGTGCCGTTTTTGCCAGTTTTGTTTTTGGTAACAGCAAAATCATTTGTAAAAATTAATTTTTTGTGTTAATTCTGTTTTAAGTGGTATTGCACTGTAAGGATTCTTAAAATTTGTTTTTTCTTTTTAGTAATTTTTTGACATTTTTATTTTTTTTAACTGAAATTCCTTTTAACACCCATTCCTGACTGGGTGTTTTATTTCAGATGATGATGAAATTTCAACAAAAATTTTTTTGAGTATAATTTGTCCTACAGGGAATTCTTACAGTATGACTCTTTGTAGAAATTAAAT